TATTTCCCAAATATCCGACTAGTATCCGTATCGGAAACGTTTCCGAACCTCTAATATCCGAACCGTATCCATTTCCGTTTAATGTGGATATGATAATGTTTTTTTTCTTACCGATGAATATCCGAACCGTATCCGTATCCGTTTTCAAAATGTGGTTATGGTTATGGTAAGGGGCATATCCGAACCGTATCCGAACCGAATGCACCCCTAATGCACATCGTTATTGCTTGCGACATATTAGGGACAACTTCAAGAAGAAATATGGAAACAGTCAGGTTCAAGATCTTCTTTGGCAAGCCGGCTGTGCAACAGAAAAATTAGTTTATGACCAAATACGAGAGAGGATTAAGTTTATTTCTCGAGCTGCACATGATTGGATCGAAACTAGTTTGAGACCACACAATGTTGATAAGTGGGCTTTATGTGAAGATGGCAGGAGACGGTTCTGTATGATGACTATGAATGCTTCAGAGAGTTTCAATGGCGTGCTCAAGGGAGCACGCGGTATGCCAATACAGTCACTAGTTGCTAAACATTTTACAGACTTAATAACTTCTTTCTACGACGTCCTGTACTTGGTGAAAATATCCGCTCAGAACTCACACCGAAGATTGATGAAATGCTAGTAGCTCGGATAGTGCAAGCTCAATCCTTTCATGTCGTAAGATACAGTTTTAATAAATGGGAGGTCATTGAGGGAATATCACATAGAGAAAGTCGCTCTTACAAAGTTAACATGTTAGTGGATTACACATGTACGTGCACTTGCAATGTACCGCAACTACAATGGATTCCTTGTTCACATGTTGTCACGACTTGTTCTGATGTACAGGGTGGTGCGAGGATTTCATATTATAAGTTCGTCGTGGCTTGGTATTCTATTTACAACTATCAACAAACGTACAAGGAGTGTTTTCGTCCACCATATGATAGTCGACATTGGACATAAGACGGGCCACAGATATTACCTCCTTTGTATAAAAGGTCGACGGGGCACCCTCGTTCGGTACGAACTAGAAATTGTATGGATGATGGTCGTGAAGGAGTTAGGAGGAGAAATAAATGTAGTAGATGCGATCAACCGGGCCATAACAAAAATAATTGTCCAGCTAGGATTAGGCGTTGATGTTGTAATTTGTAGCGGTTTCGTTCTATGTTTGTTTCCGTATGTCATGTGTGATTGCAATTTGTAGCGTTTCGTACTATGTTATATAAATTTAATGTTTGGTTTAAAGTTATTGCTTTCTTCACGTTGCGCATTCGTTTGTTGTTTATATATAACTAAGTCAATATTTCAACAGAAAGATCTAACACATTGTACGTTGTCTTCTAATATTATTCTCAGTGATATTCATTATGGATCCGGGACCGATACGCCCTGACGTTTTTGACCCTCCAGGCGAGCCACGTTTCAGACCATATTAGCTCAGGACAGGTAAAACATCTTTTGTATATATTTCTTAGCATTGGCACTAATTTTAATTTTTCGTATTATACTTAATCAATTCTTTTTGACGTGCAACCCATACCAGACATCACCATAATCGAGCATTCCCAGAGTCATTCGGCTTAGGTCATTGAGGATGTGAGAGTTCTAGAGCTGATCGCTCAGGCCGGTTTCTAGGAGTGTTCGACGGTTCGATATATTAGGCTTGATTGGCCGCTTATCACTGTACCGATTGAGAGGTGGAGGCCAGAGACCAACACCTTTCATATGCATATAGGGGAGTGCACCATCACCTTACAGGATGTGGCTGTCATACTTGGGCTCTGGATCGATGGACCGGCAGTTACGGGCACCGATGATCATAGTTGGCTTGAAGTATGTGCTAGGCTTCTTGGCCAGGTTCCCAACTTGAGGAGTGGTGCGATAAAGCTATCATGGCTTCGTCAAACATTTCAGGGCGACATACCGGAGGATGCCAGTATGGAGACGCTTCAGTTTCATGCTCGTGCGTACATATTGCACCTGATAGGATGCATGCTTTTTTCTGATGCGAGAAAGACTCTTGTACATGAACGATGGCTACAATTGTTGGAGGATTTTGATGTATGCGGCACACTATCGTGGGGCAGTACGGTGTTGGAATACTTATATCGAGAACTGGGTAGAGTATCCCTGATGCAGAATAAAGAATTCAAGGGATGCTGCACATTGATACAGATTTCGTCATAGGAGCGCATTCATATTAGACGCCCTACTTTACTTGTGCACCGTGACCTACAGGGGCAGTTTCCTTTGGTGTACAGATATAATTGTACATACACATTTTATTCGTATTGAATTTGTACTTATATATTCTCTATTCTGCATATAGGTATAACATGCGGTACGCTAAGTACCGATCATCGACGCGCCATCGTGAGTTTTACCGAAATGAGCTTGATGGCCTCCAACACGAACATGTAAATATAAATCTCAAGTTGTTATGAATATTATAGTTTTGTTGTTGATACTGATAAATGCTTTATTTTATTTCAGTTCAAGTGGAGACCTATACACCGCCGGAGCTTGATATGCATTCTCTTGCACTCATCTGCCGAGATACTGCCGACTTATGGAGAGCCAGAGTTCCATTGATTTTTTGGAAGATCGTGGAGATGCATGTCCTTTACCGTGTGCTATGACAGTTTACGCTCTCTCAGCATGTGCCTGATCCTGTTGAGCAGATTGATCGTCGACGGTGACCTACTTCGTACCGTACCGACTGGGCCGTAGTCCATGCAGCCTACATAGACAGGTGGGCTCATAAGTGGGATTTCATCCATGATACGAGACCCATAGCTGTTAACTATATCGTGTATATGCGTTGGTATTGGGATATCACACGTAGATGGATCACGCGTGACCCACAACCATTAGCTGGACACATGCCACGCCCACCGACAGACAGTTACATCCCTAATGGGATGAACGAGAGAGATTACGTAAGTTTCTAAGCTAAATTATAACATTTTTTATTAAGTTGGTACTTAATAAATTGTTTACCTCACAGGTCCGTGCTTTTGATAGCATTGAGGCTGATATTAATGCGCACGTGCCTGAGATTCAGGATTCGATGGCGTTAGGACTCCTTAGCAGGATCAAGAAGACCATAACGCATGTGTTTCATAAGACTCACGTCGACGAGTTCGCAGGCCGTGAGGACATGTCTCGATCATTTGGGCAGGCGTACACTCGGCGCCGACGGCCACGTGACGATGACGCCGGCACTTCGCATGCCGATGGAGCCGGCACTTTGCATGCCGATGGAGCCGACACTTCGCAGGGGGGTGGGGGGGGGGGGGGGAGAGGGGGGGGGGGGGGGGGGGAGAGGAAGGAGAGGAGCTATATTGAGTTGTATTTGAACTTACTTTGTTAAATTTTGTAACTTTTATGAATTTTCAAATACTATATTTTTATGAATCAATTATTGTTCGTATATGTACTCTTCTTGAGTATTGTTTGATTCGTGAGTATTTAAATCATACATATATTATAGTAATTGTTGTTAATAGGTAAATAGTTATATATATATGAGTTAAAATAGGTAGATGTATACAAAACATGCACAACACATCAGCCTGTGTATGTTTTGTAAAACTTGCAGCTTCACGGGAGTTCAACTCCCGTGAAGTTGCAGTCTAAATTTCCCAGAGAGCGATTCTCTGGAAATTTGGACTGTAACTCCAAGGGAGTTGAACACCCGTGAAGTTTTTACTCTCACAACAGACTTCACGGGAGTTCAACTCCCGTGAAGTTTATTTAAGAAATTAAACTACACAGGTGTTGAACTCCCGTGAAGTTTAAGAATATGCTAAACTTATATTTTTAAACTTCACGGGAGTTGAACTCTCGTGAAGTTTCGTAATTTTTTTTAAATCGACCTGGTTTCAGCAACAGGGCTGAAACCAGGTCGGTTTTTACAATTAAGTTCAAAAGGGATCGGTTTTTACAAATAAAAGTCCAAATATGACTGTTTGGAAATTTTGTCCTAATTATTATATTTTTTCTTCCCGTTTTATATTCTTTATTTGTATTGTTTTCCCTTTATTTTTCATGTTAGGGCCCGTTTGGATAATGGAAGTATTAGAAGTAAGAAGTAGGTTATAGAAGTAACTTTCAAAGCTATGAAGTAGGAAGTAGTGAAAATAATATTTTTTTTATTTGTTTCATATATTTTTAGAAGTAATGGAAGTAGAACTTCTTCCTCTTCATTTACTTTTTTTGTTTGGATAACATTTGAAAATATTATTAGGAAGTAATTTTATCAATGAAAAGTTGTTAGAAGTAACTAATAAAGGAAATATTAATAAAAAAAATTATTTATGTCATAATTAATATGCATTTTAACTACTTCCGAGCTACTTCTGAGTATTGAGGAGTGAAAAAATATTTTGAAAGTAAGGATGACACGTAGGCGCCACATAAGCATTTAGGGAAGTATTGGAAGTAAGTTTTTCAGAGAACCAAATACACTTTTTTGCTTGGAAATAGCAGAAGTAGCATCTACTTTTTTTACTTCAGCTACTTCATAATTAGAACAAATTTTTGTTTTAAACACATTTCAACTTTTTTTTACCGAAATCGACCGACTCTCTTTTTATTTAGCGGAATCGACCCACTTCTCGGCCACGTCAGCAACGTGGCCGAGAAGCGGGTCGATTTTTTTTTAATCTCGTCGCTAAATAGTCGGGGTTGCCAACCCCAAAATAGTCGGGGTTGGCAACCCCGACTATTTAGTGACGGGATTAAAAAAAAATCGACCCGCTTCTCGGCCACGTTGCTGACGTGGCCGAGAAGTGGGTCGATTCCGCTAAATAAAAAAAAAATCGGTCGGTTTGTAAAATAAAAAATTGGAATGGGTTTAAATCAAAAATTTGTTCTCATAATTACTTCCTGTGCAAACAAACATGCCCTTAGTAAACTCCAGACGTAGCATAAGAGGCTACCTACCCATCCGAGCACGCTATAAATATCAAAGAGTCAGTCGGACGAACTTTTAATACCAAACCGGCTATGGAGATTAAAAGGGCGTAGGCATTCTTTTCTTATAAGTAGTATAGTCATACATTGATTCGGGGGCTCCGACACGAATCTAGGTGCCTCATGGAGCCCTCCCGAATTTCACCCGCAAATTCCTCCTCTCTCTTCCCTCTCACATCAAATCCAAACCCTAACACGTCCTCAACTTCCAATACTAATCCCCAATGGCTATCCAACCCTAGCTACACCCTCGAGCTCTCCTCTCTCCCCTCCGCTTCCGCCGCGGTGCCGCCCCTGTACTATTCCTCCGACGACGAGCCATTCACTCGTCCGGATCCGCCGTCCTACGACCTGGTGGGGTCCGCACCGTCGGATTCGGACTCCGACGGCGATCGGCGGAGCTTGAAGCGGAAGGAGAAGAAGAGGAGGAAGAAGAAGCGGAGAAGGGAGAGTGAGAAGGAGGGTTCAGAGCGAGAAGCTTTTAGAAAGCCCGGGGTTCTAGATTGGGCGGGGTCCGAGACCAAGCTAGCCAAGGGCTATCACTTTGATGTTCATGGGGATCAGGATAATTTGGTCTACGGGTCCGAGACCAAGCTAGCCAAGGGCTATCACTTTGATGTTCATGGGGATCAGGATAATTTGGTCTACGGCAGTCTTTACAGGTTCATTTTCTTCTAACTTCTTCTTCTTCTTTTTTCCGTCTGAAATCCTGTAGATTCTCATCCGTAGTAATGTCTATTCATGGGGTAAACTCTATATATTCCACTTGAAAGATGGTTATTTTAGGATAGAAGTAAGTTAACAGTGCCAGATGACAATATGATTTAGCTTATTTAAGAGATCATTTTTAATGTATCCGAACATTGGGCAATTAAAAAAGAAGGAGCAACATGTTATATGTTTGCGTAGTTTGCAGTTCATTTTTTAATTTCTATGGATCAGAATGTATGAGCTACTTTCATTTGTCCCGGAACAAGTTTGCAGTTTCTGGGATCTTTAAGATAACCTGTGAAATTGCTGATTGCTGAAAGTAATCACATCACACAAATGAAATTAAAGCTCAAGGAAAAGTTGATGTGGTTCAATTGGTCCTCAACAATCAGTATTGACAAGGCAATACATAAGCTTCAAGACACATTTTCTGCACGTGCAAGAGTCAGTATTTACACACCATATTTCTGGTAATGAATAAGTTTCAAGACCCATTTTTGGCCAGTGGAAGCAGTAGTATTAGGGCAATAATGTTAACATCTATTACTATTATTTATGAGAAGGTAGGCATTTTGTAATAACTTCTGGTTTTCTGCCCCTATGCAAGTTACCCTTTTCCAAAACCTAAGAAATGTCCTCACGAATACAATGAATGTGAGGGTCAACTTGGAAATATTGAAAAAAACTACTTCCAAATACACAGTATCCCTACATTCCAAATCTCAAGGAAAGTACCAAAACCTAACGCGACCAGTTACTTCTTCCTCATTGAATCTCCAAGACTCTTCAAGAAGTCCCTTTACTGCCTCCTCTCAAACTTTGACCACTTTGCTACCTCCTCTCAATCTGCAACACAAACTGTAAGTCAATGATCCTTAGGTTCTATATGCACATCTAGTGACTGTATTGTAGTTAAGAAGTCAAGTGATTGATTAAGAAGTTCAACTAAAGGCATGATATGCAGAATTACTTTGTTACATGCATGACCTTACAAAGTTTAAATCTCCTTTCAGCAGTCGGAAACTTCTTTAAGCTTGGTCTGCACTGTGTTAGTTGTCATCCAATAGATGAAGCATTAAAATATTGTAGCTCGGCTCAAATAAAGTGGTCAAAGATTCTTAGAAACCAGATCATTTAATAATTTCTTGTACAATAGTGTCTGCAGCTATGTACAAGAAAATTGCCTTAAAAACAGAATACCACAGATATGGAGCAAATAAGAAATTTCAAATAGTATGATTAAACATAGTTTTCTGTGGCATGTGCGTGGCACAGCGTACACTTGTGCGTAGTTAAAAAATATTGTTAACACGTTAATAATTGATACTAATATACATACGTGTATAAAAAATTACTGCAAAAAGTAAGATAAGTGTTAGATAACTCACAAATTAATAATCTCATCAAGCGTGGTGCATTGGATTAGGAGATGGACTATAAAGAGTGGTGAGATTCAAAACAAAAAGAACTTGTAACAGTTGTGTTTTTGAAATTATTTATTTGCAACACTAATCATGTTTTTGTAGCTTGACATAGTGTGGTAGATGATCCCTTTGCACGTGTATAGAACTTGAGGATCATGTACTTGCAATTTCACTTTCCTGCAGTTTGGTAAATGACCCAATTGCATGCATCATTCTGACATTTTTCTTCATCACTTGATTATGATTTATGAGTTATGCGTAGTACATGATACAGTTAGTGTATATATTTGAACTATTATTGGTTAAATCATAATGAGTTATGCGTAGTACTTGCTTATGATTTATGTACTTGCAATTTGAACTATTATTTTATTGTTGGCTGATGAGAGATAATGGTCTGATACAGTTAGTGTATATATTTGCTACCATCAAATGAAAATTTTGAATAATTGAATCTTAGTTGAAGGAGCAGTTAGAACTTGGTGTTAGACCCAATCGTACATTAACAGAAGTGAAAAAAAATCACACGTCCTTTTACAATGTTAAAGATCGTCAAGGACGCGGTCCTTATGGTAGCTTAATGCCGAGCAAGATCATGCAGCTTAAAAAAAAATAGATACAACTTTGTTGCTGGTGTACTTTTTGTTACTTTCTCTTTGTTGTTATTTTAGTAGTTGGAGTATCAATTTCTCTTTTTTAAGTGTTGTTGCACTACTATGAGTTCCTTCCTCTTTCCTTTAGTCGTCTATTTGATCTATTTATACAAAGCATATGTTCTTTAACTCTTATACATCAAGTAAAGGTTTTAACAGTGGGTTTCTATTGCTTTCTAATAGTGATATTAAAAATGCAGAATGGATGTCCCGCGATACAGACTACACAGTCAGTCAGACATGCCTGTAATTAACTTTCAACTTTTTCGTCGGAGACCTTCAAATTTGAGCATGGACATAGACGGAGATGTTGATATTATTGACAGCAAACTGAAAACAGCTGGCCGCTACTGTTCAGTAAACTATTCGACACTGGAAAGACACAAGGGTCTGAAACATGTGAAAATTGTCAACAAGATGTCTTCACTTGTCCCTGGAGAATATATCCCTCTGATTGAGTTGCATTCTCCCCCCGAGAACGGGAGTAACTTGTCATCAACAAAAGGGGATATTGAGGAATCATGGGAAGATGAAGTGTTTCGAAGGACGAGAGAGTTAAACAAAATGTCGAGAGATTTTCCGCATGATGAAAAGGTTTGGCTAGCTTTTGCTGAGTTTCAGGTACTTATCTGATGCTTACTCTGCATTTATGCACTGTTACTGTTTTTTTAAGGACACCACTGATTGTTTGAATAATTACCTTTCTTTTTGGACTTCAGGATAAACTCGCAAGTACTCAACTACAGAAAGCAGCACGGCTGCAAACACTTGAAAAGAAGATAAGTATACTGGAGAAGGCTGTTGATATAAATCCAGATAGTGAAGAATTGTTACTTTGTCTTATGAAGTCTTATCGAGAAAGGGATAGCAGAGATGTACTCATGGAACGATGGAAGAAAGTACTCATGCTTCATTCTGATAATGTTACTTTGTGGAAGGAGTTCTTGATAATTTGCCAGGGGGAGTTTTCACAATTTAAAGTTTCTGATATAAGAAGAACATATGCTCATGCTATCCAGGCTCTCTCTTCGGCCTGTGACAAGCTTTGTAGGCAGGTTTTATTTTTTCTGTTCAATTTTCCTCTAAAAATAAGTAAACTACTTCACGTAATCTTCTTTTACTTCGCATATATTGCAATTGCCTGATTTATCAAAAACTATTGATTGCGCACTGCATTAAACTATTCAATTAAAATTTATTTTCAAACCGTTAGCTATCCAACTTTTGGTGCTTCAGTTCAGTTTGACAACCTATTCTGTTTGGTTCCGGTTAAATTCTTTTCAACTTGTACCAGTCAAACCAACCATATTCAGTTATTTTTTTGGGTGGCTATAGCCAATTTTCTTAACTAGGATGGCCTACTGCATAGTAACTGTAGTGTTGTGCTTTCTTTATTTCGTAGTAGGTTAGTTTCTTCCTTTTTCCGATCACTCCTAAATTGAACGAACCAAACCGACTGAACCAAACTAAAACAATTTTGGTTTGTTGTCCATTTCATGTTGGTTGGTTTAACCAACAATTGTCAAAAGCGATTAAACCTGGCAATTTTTGCTCCCCTAAATTTTAATGGATAAAACTTGGTACACATTTTCTCCACAAAAATGTGGTCCCTCTTCAGAAAACTGTGTATAATGTATGTTTTTATTTATGGTTTTTGTCATTAGATCTTAACGCGTCGCGTAGTACATAGGAATGAGTGGGAATGAAATGCTCATTTCCACTTCTTATTCATGGGTACCAAGTGCAACAACTTTTAAGAAGCTAGAATGCCCATTCCCACTTATCACTCATTCCCACTATGTACGAACGGGCGTTTTCAATGAGATTGTAAGGAACGGGCATTCACGCTTAAGTAGGGATCAAAACTTAAAATACCTTTATTGCTTATTGATTATCCATATCAAAAAATAAAAAGGATTGTCATTCCCACTTCATTCTTTAATCACACCAAAACGTGAGAATGAGAATGAGCATTCCATTCCAACACTTATTCCATTCCATTTCCTATTTCATTCCATTCTTAACTGACTAGATTTAGCTGTTGTTAGCCAATATGTTATTATTTTCTGAAACAACTTTATAGATCTGAGTGCGTAGCTTAGAAATATGAACATATGGAGCCTAATATAAAGTTAAGAAAGAATTTAGGGTCTAATATGACCAATTTATGGACGTTGTGGGGGCATTATTTCAATTAACTGAATAGATTGGGGTTGTAATTTAGAAATATGAAGATTTGTGCGTCTAATATAGAAAAAGAAAGAATTTAACCGTTGTTGGTCAATATTTTATTTTTAGGTCAATAACACTCCTAATTTGATTTAGCTGTTGTTAGTCAATATTTTATGTTTTTTGAAATAACTTTAACTTCATAGATCGGAGTGCGTAGCTTAGAAATATGAACATATGGGGCCTAATATAAAATTAAGAAAGAATTTAGGGTCTAATATGACAAATTTATGAATGTTGTGGGGGTATTATTTCAATTAACTGAATAGATTAGGGTTGTAATTTAGAATATGAAGATTCAGATGTCTAATATAAAAAAAGAAAGAATTTAGGGTCTAATATAACAAAAAAAATCTTTTAATAATATTTTGTTCGTTCTGTTGTTGTCACTAAGTCCTTGTTTAATTTTTTTTGCAGTTTCAGAATCCTTGTTCTAGTCTTTGTACAATGAGAAAATACAGAAGGAAATAAAAATTAACACGAATAATTAAGAGAGAGAATATTAGAGGGAGGAGGTGGAAGATTGCAGATGGTTTATCAACTTATCATTTGTCAACAAAATATAATAATTCTAGAGAAAATTGTTATCATTAACTAGTTTGAAGGGAAAAGACTAATGGTAGGTTTAAGTGCGCTTGGTTGGAAACAATTAAGAGGATACGATAGTCACTAACTCAACAAAGGATATAACACTATGTTGCATGAGCATGGGCACAAGTATGAGACATGACAAATTTGTAAAAAGTAGGGTACAGGGACATAGCTATATACATTTATATAAACTAATAATTTACATTAAATCAATATTGAATTAAAATACTTATAGCATTTTACTTCTATTTTGAACTCGGTACACCATTTAGTAAAGCTTAGGCCCATCATTTTGAATTTTTTAAGTTCTGTTGGATAACTTTTTTACTTCATTGGGTCAACCTGTAGCACAAGCCTAACAAGTTCAAAAGAACAACCGAAGGAAACCCGTGTTAGCTCATAAATCGATGGCCAAAAGCCAAAAAGACAGAAGGTAAAACGCAAAAACATCTCTAGCCATCCAATCTTTTCAAAATCAATGATCCATACACCTCCAGACCTTCTTCCTAGAATCAATCTCAATCTTCCCTTAGCAAACCCCTTCGTATCTCTCTTTCACCCAAAACCCGCCCTTTCCAAACGAAAATTGTAATTCCTTAAAGTTGGGTTTCAATTCTTTGGTTTAGCTTTGATGTTGGGCTAAAACAAAGGTGGTAAAGGCTACACAAGAGTAAAATTAAGTAGCACAACAAATTCCTCTTCGACAACAACTAGGGCATCAAAAAAGCTGCTGATCTGGGCTTCCCATTCATGTCCATGTCATTTCAAGTGCCTTCTAGCTTTTTATCTTTTCCCTCTCTCTATATGTTATACTATGGGGAAGACTTATTTGTTCCTAGGTCATAACTAGCTTAGTTATGGCCACTGGTAAAAATGTGTATTATGATAAATAGGACGATCAACTCATTTCATCTTGATCCGTACGTCTTAAAATGTCTACAAATAAAAAAAATCATATGGTTGAGCATATATTACACATGCATCAAGTGGTCAGAAAAACTAATGGTTTCATAACAATACAACAATAGAGACCTCTTGATGGATGGATTTAGACTATTCCAATGGATGACTAGTTCCATTCATCATGATCTAAATGTCTCAAAGCAAATTTTAACCAAAAATCACAATCTTTGGATATTTCTAAGATATATTTCTCATTGACTCTTTAGTTGTATTATCAGAAAACTGTTAATTTTACAATCACTTGATGCATGAGTAACTATAACCCGTATATATATAATCAGCGGATGAGTTGTGGCTATTTTGTCGAGTTCGTGCCCCTTGACATTCTCTACCTACCTACCTGTGTCGGTTCGGGGAACATGTACCCTTTTGTTGAAGGTTGTTCAAGTTTTTCCAAGGAGTATGGCATGTGTTACTTCAGTGACGTAGCACGTAGTACTTGATCTGACCAACTGCCCATTCTACCTCTACGTTCTTAATAGCCTATTTTTTTCTCAGTAGTCTTTCAATGCCATGTTTTAGTCCTCTTTTCCTTTGAAAAAGTGAGCCACCGGTTTAGGTACAAGATACTATCATTACCACCTGGACAATTAAACATCTAACCCGTAATCACAACGACCCAATTGCAAGAGTAGAGCTCTACTAACTAAGCTATACCCCCCCAAGCCAAGTGGAGTATGCATGAAAGAATCAGATGCTTCTTCTATTATTTTTCCTAGCATAGCTAGGCCATCCTGGACTTGAATCAGAGACGTTGCCCGTGAAGTAAATCATCACACAACAACCAATTGGAATTTCGGGAGCAACTCATCATACTTGAACGCAACATACAACTCTCCGTTGTACTGCGCTTTTCAAGTGTCCTTGTTCCTCCTCTCCCTTGCCAGGACAAGTTTTTGTGAAATAACTCGGATGGGAAGAAAAATGAAGGCGTTAAGAGACCTCCTGATCATTGTTATAAATAGCGGTAAATAGACCCGTAATAGCAGCGTTAGTGGTCCCTTCCCGCTAAGCTATCGCCCAATAGCGGTGACATATTACGGAATATACGCTTTCTATTTGTAAAAACAACCAATATCTTACTGAGCGGTGAATAGCAGGCGATTGTGGACAAAATCCGCTTTTTGCCCGCTATTTATAAGTGGCTTGATGTTTATTTTTTAAATTAAACCTAACCCACAACTACTACATCCCACCGTCTTCCGCAATTTTCGACATATTCCTGCCACCTCCCATAGCTTCTAGCACTTCCCTCAACACTTTTTCTCACCTCTTACCATGAGCTCCTACTACAGTCCTCTCACTGCTCAACTCCTCTTCTCGAAGATGACTCTTTGACTCATCCAGTTGTCTTCGGTATTATATGACGGTTACATGTCTGTTTCATGTTTAGGATCTCCTCAGATATGCACTTTTAGATTTTTCTTTAATTATTATTATTTTTTGAATATTTATACATATCTAAATTAAGTCGTTATTTGACTTTGCGCTTTTAGCGGCTATTTTGCTACAATAGCCCCGAATAATCTTAGCAATGTCTCACCGTTACGCGGCGCTATTCGCTATTGATAACCTTGCTCTTGGTCTAACCCTAGACACTCTAAGATCATTTTTCAAACCTGCTTCCACCATAACTTTTGATGTGATTTTTAGAGTGGGCCTCATCTCATGGCTATTTTTGGTAGCTCATTTAGTGAAATGAGCCGCCACCTCATACCCATTATTTCCTATGTATATATATAGAGAGATTTGTGATACTTCTAAACTCAAAGTAACATGTCATAACGAAAATTTGACAAGTGTACATACCTTATGCAATTAGAAGGTGATATTTGGACACCTGAACTTATATTCGCCTAAGAATCCTCATCAAGTTAAATCTATTTATAATTAGCAAATTCTAATTATAATTAAATGATTAGCAATCCTAATTAGATCTTAACTATCCATAACTAAAAAAATTCTAGTAGTCATATTTTTAATCTCTTTTACTTTATATATAAAAACAAAGATTAACGGTTTAATATTAGCCTTATATCTTGAAAAATTGCCACGTGGCCACTTAGTTTTAAAAGGCTAAATTTTACTAAACCTCCAAACAGGTTTGGGTGTTTAGTACTAAACCGCCAAAATATTTAAAATTCACTAAACGTGGCCACTTAGTTTTAAAAGGCTAAATTTTACTAAACCTCCAAACAGGTTTGGGTGTTTAGTACTAAACCGCCAAAATATTTAAAATTCACTAAACGATCAATAACAGTCCTTTCTTTGTATGTAAAGAGAGTGATGGTTTACTGTTAGCCTTACATATCAAAACATTGCCGTGTAGCTCTTCTTAATTTTTTTAAACTTAAATTTCGCTAAATTCCCATTAAGTTTGGTCGCTTGGTACTACACCCTAAAACTTTTTGAAACCCTCGATACGTTTGGACATTTCAGAGAACCTCTAAAATGTTTTGATGTTTTACAGTTAACCAACCCACAAAACGATGTTACCTGATAATTGTCCATTGATGAGCATTATACTTCAAAACCAATGTTCACTTATCAAATCATTCATATTTGTAAATTAACCTATAAAATTACAAACAATCCCTGAAAAATATAAAAATTGAATAACCCATTAAAATATGAAATTACAATCGACTCCCCTTAAAAAATCTAAAAGTTACAAACAACCCTCTTTAGGTTCCAAATTGTAGATAACTCCTCGGAAAATCTGAAAACTACATACAAATCCAAACAACACTCTTAAAATTCTGAAAATCATAAACGACCCCCTGAAAAATCTAAAATTGCGAAAAACTATTTGAAAATCTAAAAATTGCAACCAGACCCTAAAAACTTCAAAATTGCAAAGAACCACTTGAATAGTTTAAATATTTCAAATAGCTTCCTGTAAAATTGAAAATTAGAAAGAACTGTTATTGGGGATTTTTTGCTCAAGGTATGGGGGTTAAATGGCAAAACTAAAATTTTTTTTGGTTCAATTCAATTTTTAGAAGCATGATGGGCATAACTAAAAATGCAACTTATAGAGAACATATAAATCAGATATACAAACCAAAGAAACCACATTTACTCGTGCGAGCACGGCCATAATGCTTGTGTGTGCATATATAATATAAAATGGACTAGCAATACATATATATGTGTGCGCGCGTGTGTGTACATATATACATATTGCTAGTCCTTTTTATGTGGTTAGAATGTGGATATTACCTTGTATTTATAACGCGTATATGTTGTTTAACATTTTGGACAAGCATATTGAAATCACTCTTTCTATACTTATTTTCCCATCTTTGGTAGAATCTTTGGTAGAATCCAAGCAACTGCGAAGTTGTTAGTGAATAATGCTTACTGTGAAGTCTTTTGGTTCTAGAAAGGCCCTTTCAATTTCTGTATTTTATCCATGTTTGATTCACCTTTCGGTTCACTTAATGGTGCTTGATAGATAACTCTTTATATAAAACAGACTCATATATTAGATTTATCTCACTTAATTTGCCTTTCTTATGTAACTTAAGTTTTTTTATATGAAAACAACAACGCAAACTTGGTCATTTGTTATTTTCCTTGTGTGTGTATATGTATGCATGCATGTACATATGAATATGTATATATTGTTTGTAAAAATAATAGAAAGATTTGCGAAAGGATCTTAGTTCAAAGTTCAAACAATGCAAAAGAATTCTTGATTGCTTTTCAATTGAAATAACGCCTTTCTATTTGCTTCCCTATCTTTTTGTGATGCAGGGTTGGTCAAAGGATCCTTCTCTAGTTCAACTAGAACTTGGGCTGGTAGATATGTTCATCAACCTTTGCAGATTTGAGTGGCAAACTGGTTACCAAGAGTTAGCTACTGGGTTATTCCAGGCAGAAATTGAGTACAGCTTATTTTGTCCATCTATGCTTCTTAGTGCAGAGAGTAAGCGAAGGCTCTTTGAGCACTTCTGGAGTCATGGTGGTGCTAGACTTGGAGAGGATGGAGCACTTGGGTGGTCAATATGGCTGACAAATGAGCAGCAGCAGAAAACTCTTTCTGGTGAATTCCCACATGAAACTGAGATAGGGGGCTGGACTGGTTGGTCAGATCCTCCTTCGAAGAAGATTGCTTTTGCAGGAAGACCAGAACAATCAGAAGAACATGCTATGGACAATGAAAACACTGATGAGAAACTTGACGATGAAGATGTTCCTTTGAATGACGATGTTGAATCATTACTAAAGAGGCTTGGAGTAAATGTAGATGCTGAACCACATAACGAGATTAAAGATGCGAAAACTTGGAATAGGTGGGCAGAGGAGGAACTATCTCGGGATGCTGATCAATGGATGCCTGTCCACAACCATTCTGGTACTTCAGTTTATTTCTTTTCCTTCATCGATGATGATGAAACCTTTTCTTTCATGCCTGGTTTCATCTTGCTTCTAACTGCATCCTGTTAAATTTAGCTAACCGCATCTTGTTAAATTTAGCTAATATGCTTTTGTTTGTTCTAAGTGTTTTTTCTGCCCCAATAATCAAATATTAACTTTTCTGAAGGAAATCATGGAAATTTCTCACCAGCTTATGCCAAGGAGAATCAGGATATTGAGGACAATGAACAACTTTCAAGGGTCATCTTGTTTGAGGAAGTAAATGATTATTTGTTTTCCTTGCACTCAGAGGAGGCCCGATTCTCTTTAGTGTCTCAATTCATTGATTTTTATGGTGGCAAGATTAATCGATGGTCAGTTCATTTATACCTTACATGATATTATATGGAACTCTACCTCATGCAAATTCTCCACTTTGGTTTGTTTTGACCTAGTTATTGAAACGAACTGCTCTAACTATTGATGTGTACAAAATTATCTGAAGTTTTCTTTTCTGCCTAGTGCTGCTCACTTTTCCAAGATGCAGTTAACGACAACATGATGCTTCTATTGACATTTGCAAGGCTACTCCCTTATTTCTTATCCTTTGCAAAATAAGGCACTTCTTTGCACGCTTCATTACTTTTAAAGTTTTACTGTCTTTTAATTATGCAATCATTTCTTTCTTTCTATTTCAGATAGTTAATAAGGATATGTACATATGTTCAACTATGTACTCGAAACCTTTTCATGTATGTCTATAAAGATGTGCTGTTTGATTGTGATGCGTGGTGAAGCATTGAGTACAAACAGCTGCATTTGATCAATAAACATCTGTTCTCTATATGATTACCAAAACTTTAATATGTCGGTGTTTCAATTTAAGGGTTCAACAAATGTATAGCCAAAGAAGAAGTATGTCAGAATTAAAGTTACAATAAGTCCTAGGTGAAGCTTAGGTGCAATGTTTTCTGCCCAGCGCCTAGCTGCCTAGGCCCCTGCCTAGAAAATATTTTTTTTTGGTTTATCACAGAGGTGCTGAAGATTTTACTGAAGGTTGGAGGAGGTGTCCAGAGTTGATGGTGCAGGCCAGGGAGGTAGGACTTAGAAGCAGCAACAAAGGAAACTAGACCATGACATAAGCTTTGCAGTCCGCATAACGGCCCATACTCTCTTAGTTTTTCCCAAGACCTAAGCAGGTGACCTAAGTACCACCTACGCCTGGGTTGGAATCTAGACCGCTTCTTAAAGCTATGGTCAAAATAATAGTGGTATGAGTTATGTTACCTAGGAACTTCTAACCTAAAGCCAAGCGCATGTACGTACCTATACCCAAACTCCTTGGGTACACCTTGCATATATACATATATTTATTCGAGCAGGTACTCAATTATATAATACATATTTTAATTTAAAACACTTGCCATATATCTTTTGGAGGACAAATCCAGATCTGAATAATGTAGCAGATTTGATGAAGATTGGATCTGATTTAGTTCAATTAAGATTAGATATATTAGTATGGTTTTATTTGATTTTATCATTTCATATTATCTGATGTTATCTCTTTTTTTTAGTTAGGATGTTATTGGATGTTATCTTTTCTTTAGTTAGGATTTTTCTTATCTTCTTAGTTTTTTCTATAAATAAGATTTTGCTTTTCATTTGAGGGAAGGACAATGTTTGGGAGAAACTCTGCAGTGGTATTGTAGCTAGTATAGGCATGTGAGTTGCTGGTATGTGAAGTGCCTGGGTGTGAAGCCCGTATTTGTATCTTGTTCTTCATTAAGTAAAAAATGTAATTTCTATATTTGTGCCTTTTTATTTTTTTATCCAAATAAGTCGCTGGAGCTGATCTTCACAATCCATTCTCTATCATTTAGTATTAGAGCCCAAGGATCCATCTCCATTTTCTCACCACTAGAAAAAAGACCCATTTCATGATCTCTAATCCCGTCAAATTAGAGCCAGAATCGAAGCAATATCCAAAGTTTTCGCGATGACACCACAAGAAGCTTACAATTCCTTAGCAGTACAAATTCAAATTTGGATCGTTTAGTAGATTTGATGAAGATTAGGTCTAATTTAGTTAAATTAGGATTAGATATGTTAGTTATAGTTATATTTGATTTTATCATTGAATTTGGTTAGGATCTTATCTGATGTTATCTCTGTTTTAGCTAGAATGTTATTTGATGTTATCCTTTCTTTAGCTAGAATATTCATATCTTCTTAATTTTTTCTATAAATAAGATTGTGCTTTTTATTCGAGCTAGAATATTCATATCTTCTTAATTTTTTCTATAAATAAGATTGTGCTTTTTATTCGAGGGGAGGAGAGAGAATGTTTGAGAGAAATCCTGCATGTGAATTCTAGCCAGTGTTTGAAAAGTAGAAGGTGAGCTCAAGGGGTGAGGTCCTATGGTACCTGAGGTGAGAGACGCCAAACAAGGCAATCGCTTGAGTGAACCAACGCGAAAAATATTCAAAAAGTTCATAAACATTACAAAACAATATGCAAATACAAATAAATAGCAACAAGACAAATTAATCATAGCCGAATTTCAAAGTGACAAACCTAATGAGTCATAAACCATCAAAATAGCAACAAAACAAATATTGAATAGTAATATTAACTAGTAACAGCTAACATAGACATGTAAGCAACAATATTTGAACTTTAAGGTTCAAATCGTGGTATGTCCTCAAAATGATATAGCTAATAAAGTACATTGCAACAAAAAATAGTGAAAATCGACTAAGAAAAAAGAAACAAAAAACTTCAATTACAAAAACGAACTTCACTTTATTGGACACCTTTCACACCTTCAAAATTTTAAAACAAAGACAAAACACTTCGTGCCTTGCGTCACATGCCTTAGGCGAGTGCCTAAGGCATCAAGGCGGGCTCTTGAGGTACCAAAAGGCGCTCGCCTTAGTAAACCTTTATCGCCTGGCAATACGCAAGACGCTAAGTTACAAGATCGCCTCGCTTGAGTGCTTGAGACGCCAAGACGCCTCGCCTTTAAAACAATGATTGTAACTAGCACTAGGCATGTGAGATTATGGCATGTGAAGTGCTCATGTGTGAAACCCGTATTTTATCTTTTTCTTTATTAAATGTGAAATACAATTTTAATGTTTGTGCCTTTTTATTTTTTATCCAATTAATTCTCACATATCTCCACCACCCGTTCCCCATGAAGATGTCAACTGGATTGGCTAATCTAAAGTAACTTGTTAATTATGAGGAATCTTAATAGAAAATCACGTAATTTTGTGCTATTTAAGAATTATGTTTAATTTGAGAGAATCAAGGTATGAAAACCTTATACCTCTTTACTCCCAGTGCTATCAGCATAAGTTTTCATCATTTTTTAAATTTTCTGCTCCTAAGATTTAAGTGAGAATTGCGCAGGTAGTAGAGGGTTGGGGATGGGCTTTGGTGATTCTGAGGTTCAAGGCAAAGCTATGGCTTTGCTCCCCAAAAATTACAACTCACTGAGTCACTTCTGTAATCAGGGTCAACATCTTATTCTGCAGAGGATTAAACTGTGCGGCCATCATGAAACTCAGAAATTTGCTAATACAATGATAATTACAAAGTGGATTGTGATGGAAGCTGCCACAATAATAAAGGGTTCTGGAAGATAGAAATATAGCAGTTTAAGCATGTTGAAATTGACTTAGGTTAGCCTATAATCCATTCGGTTTTAGTTAGGGGGCAATTTCATTTTTTTTTACATCTAATACAAATAGGACAAATTCTCAAAACCAACCACTTTCAACATTTAATCCTAAAAAACGACCTCTCTTGCACTTAATTTTAAAAATTGACCTGGTTTCAGCCCTGGCGCTGAAACCATGTCAGTTTTTAAAAAAAAAATTTCGAAACTTCACGGGGGTTGAACTCCCGTGAAGTTTAGCAGAATTTTAACAATCTGCTAAAACTTCACGGGAGTTCAACTCCCGTGAAGTTTTGTTTGTTCAAAAAACTTCACGGGAGTTCAACTCCCGTGAAGTTTTGGAACTCTCCCATAAAGTTTTGTCTGCTAAACTTCGTCCTTGCTCTTCGCTCTTTCTCCAAATCCGAACAAGAAAAAATTAAAAAAAAAGTAATCAAAAAATGCACCTCCTCCTCCACTAGCATCTCCCTGTAGCTTCCTCGTCCTCCTTATATTCAGACATCAAAACTCTCCTCAACTTCAAGAACTCCTCAAAAATTAAAAAGAAGTAGAATCGTGTGGGATTTTGGGGGAATGCTGAGGTTGAAGGGATCTGAGATTGAGAAGGATGCCATGGCGATGAGAAGTTGAGGGGAAGAATTAAATAAAAATTGTGTTACTTTTCCACACCAAATCAAATGGAAACCCCAAATCTTCATCTCCTCCGATTAATCATAATCTGCGGGAAAATCACGGCTCAAGTGACAATCCCAAGCTCACTTCACGGGACTCGGCCGAGGTTGAGGACGCGGAGGTCGGGGACGCGATTTTGACCTGGAGGTTGGGGACGCGGGGGACGTAGGCGTTGGGGTTTCGGCTGGCGACAGTGACCTGATGGTTGGTGCTGAGGAGATTGGGCTGGGCTTTGGAGGACATGCCTAATTTTTTATTTTTTATTTTAGGGAGAAGGGAGAGGGAGGGGAGGGGAGGAAGAAGTTTACAGTGACGGCTCTGGCTGTGGGAATGAAACAGAGACATTTAATAATGAACAATGGGAACTTCACGGGAGTTCAACTCCCGTGAAGTTTAATTGGCCTACAATAACTTCACGGGAGTTGAACTCCCGTGAAGTTTAGCAGACTATTAACTAATGTACTAAACTTCACGGGAGTTCAACTCCCGTAAAGTTTTGGAAGATTTTTTTCAAAAACCGACATGGTTTCAGCGCTAGCGCTGAAACCAGGTCGGTTTTTGAAAATAAATTCGAAATAGGTCTTTTTTTGAGATTAAAAGTCCAAATAGGACTGTTTTGAAAATTTGTCCAATACAAATATAATACATTTTCACTTTTGGCATATCACTAAGAAAATAAGTCTTGTAGATCTTCCATCTGTTCTATTTAAATGGATCATCAAATTCTTGTAAACAAGATACATCAGTTTACTTTTGAGCATTGAAAAAACGTTTTTGTGAAGGAGGCAGTTGTATCTTACCCATGGAATTACAATCACGTATTTGAAACATAACTTTGTTTCTCTTCAGCTTTTCATACTAATTGATAGGGAACGGGAAACAGCCTCAAAGAGTAAACAAAAAGAAGTCAAAGGGATCACACCTTCAATGCCTAGAATTTGGCCTCACACTAATACGCAACCCGCATTTATCCAATCTGGCCTCACATCAATATGCAACTCATGCATTCAACCATTGGGTTTTCATCAGAAAATTAATTCAACCTCTTCATTATAATCTGGATATTGAATCAATTATTTATACGCTAGAACTTCAAATTCAAAATTTGAAACTTATTCTAAAATCATATAGAGATAAGAGACTCAAAGTCGAACTTTGGATCCAATAGCTACTCCTAAATTCAATTCAAATATCCAATCTGAATTCAAAATCAAATATCTAATTCTCCACTTATTTTTCTAATCCTAAATGATTAGAACTCTTGCTGTGAAATAAAATTTTGATCCCCAATTCTCTAGTTTTATTCTGCATCACTAGGCTGTCCTCTCGTCTGTTGGCGTGAACGCTACAGTTCTGTGCGTGTCCCTTACCGGTGACTGTTGAGATGTTAAACATCCCTTAATCGTATCATTTACTGCTAGCATCACATAAGTTGACAAGTGACAATAGTACCTCAAACACCTGTTTTAGGCTTCCCTTGCTTTCTATAGTTCTATTCATTCTTGTCATTGGTTACAGCATACTGGAACAACTTGACTGATTAATTCATACATTCCTTTAAGATTTCACCCTTCTGTACTGACTGTGAAGTTTATCTCAGTTTATTATCGAATATAAACAGTAAAGTTGACAATACACCCAGCCACATATGCTAAATATGACAAGCAAACATATTTTTGAATGTTCAATTCCTGTAATATGCCTATATTATATGATATATATTTATATATATATATATATATATATATATATATATATATATAATATATATTATATATATGAGAAAAATGGGTATGCTTGGTACCAAGCACAAAAGTGGTGCTTGGTAGTGAGTGGCATAATACCCCTCTACTCATTCAAATGGTTACATATCCCCATGCACTGCCTCAATCCATGTGAATGTGGTCCCCTATTTGAATGAGTGGAGCGGATTGTACCACCTCACTACCAAGCACAAAATTTGTGCTTGGTACCAAGCATACCTATATTTCTTTCTCTCTCTCTCTTCTCTCTATATATATATATATATATATATATAATATATATATAATATATATATATATATATATCCTTGTAATGATGTGGCCTCATTCTTACCCACTTATTTTCAAGGAGGGAACTATTTTCAAGTGGGGACCATTCAAATGAGTGGATTAGAATACCAAGGACAAAATTCGTCCTTGGTACCAAGGTTATTCCTCACTCTCTCCTATGTGTGTCTCTCTCTCTCTCTATATATATATGTATTATATGTATATATGTGCGTATATATGTACGTATATTTTGTATGTGTATACATTATGTATGTATATGTATATGTATATGTATATGTATATATATAAAATAATGGGTGTGCTTGGTAGTGATGTGGTCACTTCTATCCACTCATTTAATGGATGGGTAATCAAGCGGGGACTATTTTTAAATGGGCATCTTTAAATGGGTGGATGAGAAGCATTCATGTCACTACCAAGCATACCCATTATTCTCATACATATGTATATGTCTTTCTTTAATGTTTTAGGTACTTTTATTAATGCGAGTAGCATGAATGAGAACTTAAGCAGTTTACCTGAGCTTCTAAGCAACTTTTCAGTCTATTCTTAGTCTTCCCTGATTTTGTAGAGTTTCTTCAATATCTCTAAGATGTCTTAACAACATTTGTTTATTACCTGTCAAGAAATTGTTCCATTCCAAAAGTCTACATAACAAGTATGTTTTGTAACATCATGGAAAAATATAGTGAATTATTAACTTTTTTGTTCCCTGTCTACGTTCCCATATATGGTTTCTTCTTGTGTTTCATAGCATTAACACTCCTTTATTGTTATCATTATTTTCCTTGTTGTCTTCCTTGTTAGCACTGTCATCATCTTTATTATTGTTATTTAACTATTTGTCCTCCGTTTTCAGGACATGTACTAACAATTCAAGTTGGATTGAGAAGCTTCTTAGCCTTGAGACCATCCCGAATAGCATATCAGAAGATCTGAGAGTTGTATTTGAAGTGGTAAATAGGGCACAAAGTTCTCCTATCAATCCCAATCTGGAACTCCTCCTGGGCAGTACACACAAGTTGTTAAATAATAATATGATGAAGTTCCTTCGGAATGCAATCTTGCTTCTTCTTAATGTCTTTCCTCGAAATCATATTTTACAAGAATCTCTGCTGGCTATTGAAGATCTTTTTATGAACAAAATAAAGTCTTCTACTTGTGCAGTTAACCCATCACGTTGTCTAGCCAAAAACTTGTTAAAAAATGATCGTCAGGTACTCTCCGTAAAAGATGACATTGATTGCTTTTTCCCATGTTGATTTTTTAAGAAACCCCCTTTAAAATAGGGTAATTATATTGAAACCACATTTCAATTTTAATTTATACATGGACCACCTTTAAGTAGGTTTTTGTTGCAATCAACCACCTCCTCATCAAATTTTCATTAAAAACAAAAAATAAGCTGAAAATATTAAGTTTAAGCTATGTGAGTTGTATCTTAACAAGGCCTAAATACTAATAAAATGAGTCATGTTCCTTGAATGTGAGTTTCTAAAGGGTAATTTTAGGTTGTTAGTGAAAACTTTGATTGGGAGGTGGTTGATTACAACAAAAACCCACTTTAGAAGTGGTTTATGGATAATTAAAATTGACAAGTGGTTTCCATTTAATTACCCTATTTCAAAGGTGGTTTCTAGCAAAAGCGCTTCTTATTTTTATACATGGAATAGTCATTATAGTTTAAGAATATTGATTGTTACTTATTCATTCACATGCTTGTATTACATTTTGTGCTATTCTGTTTCTCACATGGAAACATAAAATTCCGAGTGTGATTCCATTTAATTGTCTTTTTCTTTGTATCACGGAGAGTGCATTCTATTTCCCGCAGCAGCCTATCTAACCTCTTCCTCCGGACTCTTTCATGGTCTGGTGCAAAATGGAAGCTTTCTCTAAATTTGTAGGGCTTAAATTTCAAGATGAAAAGATTAGACTTTCCTGCTTGCTAGTTGTCAAGGTTTTGCATGATGGTCGTCTCTTGCTTAATTACCTAGAGTGGGAATTTGGTACCAATTTATGGCATTTAACTCATGTTGATCACCGTTTACAATATCTGTTCAAATATTTAGGAAACTTATTGTATTTCATAGGCAAAGCAATGCCCTTCTGATACTAGAAGACCAAAGTCGTAGTTGTGGATGGTATTATTCAATTTGTTGTGGATGGTATTATTCAATTTCTTTCAATTCCTTAATTTCTACATTTGTATGTTATCTGACTTTTCACTTTTATGTCATTTCATTATTTCTTAGATGCATAGTCCGTTTTGTTTTCATTAAAATTCCCTTTGAATGAGTGCTTAACAACACAACTGTAAATTGCAGAAAATACCCTAAAGATTTACCACCTCTTATGATATCCTTTTTTCTCACACTTCACCCTTATAGACTTTTACAACTTGCTATCTCTATTACTATATCACTAGAGATACCTAGGAATATTCTATGTGCAGCACATGTCTACAGTCGACTAATTTATTCTATGTGAGCAGCACATGTCTACAATCGACTAATTTATCTCATGTAACATATTCTCTATGGAATCAGGTCAAGTGAGAAAGGAATAAAGCAACGAATGAAATGGAATAAATGTAACAATGAAATGCCCATTTTCATTCTCGTGTTTGGGTGTCACAAAAGAATTAGGGTATTTTTGAAAATTTTTAATTTTTTTGATTCTCACTTAAATTGGAACGCCCATTCCTTAGTAGTTCAAAGGGAATGCTCATTCCTAGGGAATGACCATTCCAAAAGAGACAATAGTAGTTTATCGTCTCAGAAATCACCAATTTTTTTTTCAAAGTAACATGCTTATCAATGTTTAGAAAAGCGGAAGCGCAAGACAAAGCGCTAGACCCTTTGATGAAGCGAGGCGTAAGCTTCAAAGCATGAAGCACAAGTTTCATGAGTTTAAATATTTTAATTCTAAATTTGTAAATATTATAACATATAATATATAGTGGTGTAATAATTATAAGTATATACATTCATGTCTTGATTAGTAAATAAGAGTTAAATATGTGAAGTATAGAAATGAATCATAATAAACTAAGCTAAACACATAACATATATATTTTATTTACAGTCAAATAGTCATATTGAAAATATATAGGGGCATTTTAATATTAGTCAAAGATCCTTTTATGTCCTACTATCTTGTCTTAAGCATGTGCTTCAAAATAAAAGCCTTTTATGAAGCGCGAAGAGCACATTTCAATTATGCTTTAAGCGATGAGGCGTAAGCTTCAAGGGATAAATAACTTCACTCTTGAGTTTGAACCGTTTTATCCTTCAATAAGTTGTGAAGCGCGTTTCGAAGCGAGTTTCGAAGCGAGTTTCAAAAAGCCTTTTTCAAACATTGATGCTTATTCCTCAAGAGCCTTCCAAATCATTTGACAAGCTTTTTGTTATGGTCTCGCATTTGTTTTTTTTTCTTGAAAAACTAAATGGGATTTACAGTTTTATTGTTCTCAAATCATCTTAGCTGTTACATTATTTTGTAATTGCAAAATTATTTCTTACCCCCTGATCAGATGATTCATATGAATCAAGTGCACAAGAAGTCAAGAAGTGCTTTTAGCCACAGGAACTTAACTACTTGACCTTGCAATCATGTTTCTAAAACCCTAGGTTATTCTGTTTGCTAACCTGTCAGTGTCATTAATCTTGAGATTGGACACCATCGAGAATGTCTTAATAGAGTGTCAGGGAGATTGGACACCTAAAAGGATGGCCTAATGCAGTATCGGGAGATTGTCATATATCTTATGACATCAAACTATGGTCCTGTAAGCACATGCATGAAGCAACTGTAAACTTGTTGCAAGATGCATACATGCATGTGCATAGGTGATCTGATCAAATTTGTGATTTTACAATTCTGAAATAAAGTAGAGAATAGCTAATCATGGAAAAAATATATGGGAATTACAGAGGTGATATTCTGATGCTGTTTCGAATGATGCTGCAAATGTCAAAATACCCTTCTGTTTTCTCTTTTTTACGGAGCTTTCAACTTCGTAGAGGCACTATAAATCATGAACTGAGCGACTTTGTTATAAAGGTTCAGGCAATATTGAGCTACCCTGTTCTGTTTGAAGTCAGTAGTACTGACACCCTTGGATAACCTTGAGAGATCATCTTGAAGGAGCTTAGGAATACACAATATTTATTCAGAATTATCATATGAAATTTTTGGGAGGCTGTTATCCACAGAAATTAGTCATGCTATTTACCTGATTTTTTTCAGTTTCTAATTGCATCTATATGTTCAGTGCATGTTTTTTTGTCTATTTCGATAAAATGACACTGCTTTTGGCAACTGATATCTAATTTCAGGGCTCATTTGTTTAAGAAATCTAATTTGTTTTTTGTTTTCAATCTATATTTGTGAAAGGATTTGCTACTTTGCGGAGTATATGCACGAAATGAGGCCAATTATGGAAATATTGATATTGCGAGAAAGATTTATGACATGGCAATATCTTCCACTGATGGACTTCCTCCAGTAAGCAGAACAACTTTCTTTCCTTTCATGATTCAAACATTTTTTAATAGGTTTACTGATATATAATTTAATGTACAATACTAGTGCGATAGGTTTTTTTCTCCCGTGTTATGTGTATGAATTCGTCTGGCCCCTCTTCTGTTACTTTTTCTTCCGTCTAGTGCAATCTTGGACTTTTAATTTCTATTCTTAGGAATGTTATGGGGACATTCATACTTCTTAGGTGTTGGTTATAGTGAGAAAGCTGATAGTCTGCCCACTTTGTTGTGATCTGCATGCTTATTCTAATATTGAATTTATATCTACCTTTGATATTTTTGAGTCCATGTTTAGACCTAGACAGTATCAAGGTTACAGAAAGCGCTAGACGGCCTAGGCGTTGCACCCTACGCCTAGAGCCTGGGAGCCTAGGCGTTTTTTTTTTTCTAGTTTTTAATTACAATTACTGATAGTAAATGCCAGGATTATAGGAAGCTTAGGCGCTGGACTGACACCTAGGCAGATTTCTTAAGTGGTAGTGGATGATGTTTTGTTCAAGGTCGGGAGAGGTGGCGGTCTTCCTCGTTGGAGTTTGGAGGAGGTTGAAGGACGTGGAGGCTACAATGGAGGAATTCATGATCAATACCTAAAGGATGCAGTCCACGCTCTCTTAGGCGCTCCCAAAATGTAGGTAGGCAACCTAGATACCGTCTAGGTGCTAGGTAAGCGGTCAAGGTACTGCCTAGGCTTAGGGCATATGTCTAAGCGGGCTAGACGGAGGTTTTTTAAAACAATGGACATTATGACGAACAGGCATGCTCTCTGCTTATTCTATACTAGCACATTCGCATGTGCGAAAACATTAAATTTGTTATCCAGTTAATTTTCTATTATTCATAGTAATAATTTGATAATGAGTTACTATAGTTCTATGTAGAAATTGTATCTCGAACTATTCTTTAGTAATTAAATCAACAAACATTTATAATACAATTTTATTAAAGAGTTTTCCTTTGAGGATAATAAAATTACAGCAAGTAATTAATTAACATAAAAAAGAAAAAAAATAGAGAAGATGATAATTTAATTATGTGAGTGTATATTGTCACGCCCCAAATACAGCGAAAGTTCATAAAATGGGGCACGTGACAACATTGACCAATGCACAAGACAAGTCTCATGCATGTGTCAAGCTTGATACTTCATATCATATAGCTTCTCACTAAGTATATAAACTTGATGATGGTAGAATTTCAAAGGGAACTATATATGTAATCAGCAAGTACAACCTAAAAACTCACCGTAACAAGCATTTTACAAAATCAAAATACGTTTAGCTGTACATAACACAAAATAGAGGCTTTCCCATCTTAACGCCTCCTAGCAACCATCAACAACCAAAAATCCAGGTTATATGAGATGCAACATCAGATCTAAAAAAAAAAATAAAAATGATAGGGTGAGCAAGCTATGTGAAAACATTTCCCACTAGAGTTTCTATATATCTAACAAAATAGTATTAATTCTCAAAATAATGGGATATAAGTTTTCCATCTGAAATTTTGGAATGATAAACTATTGTGTAAGGGACACATTATTATTTTCAAAAAAGAATGCATCATTTTAAAATTCATTCTTATGTGCAAACTGAATATCTTATCATAGATCAGACTTTTTGAAATCACGATAAATACTGAGAAAGAAAACGAACTATTAAATTTGGTGCAAAACCAAAAGATTACCGTTTTTCCAAATTTATCATAAAATGTTAGAATCTCAAATCTCATTGAGTTGTTCCATCTGAAATTTTGGAATGACAAACTATTGTGTAAGGGGCACATTATTATTATTTTCAAAAAAGAATGCATCATCTTAAAATTCTTTCTTATGTGCAAACTGAATATCTTATCATAGATCAGACTTTTTGAAATCACGATAAATATTGAGAAAGAAAACAGACTATTAAATTTGGTGCAAAACCAAAAGATTACCGTTTTTCCAAATTCATTGTAAAATGTTAGAATCTCAAATCTCATTGAGTTGTTCACTTATTGCAAGAATCACATCATAGGTCATACTAAGACTACAAATATTATAGCCCAGTAGCATTGAAATGAGTAAAATGCGTAACATAATAGATAATTTTCAAGAATGGAATGCACCTAAATTTTCATAGGTGGTTGGCCAGATCAAAATTGCTCAAAGGGTCAGAACAGATTTCAGAAGGGGCAAATATAGTAAGGCCAAATAGAGGTGCATTCACCATATGACAAGCACAGACATAACACTCCATAGTGAACTTTCTGAGGGTTTTGAGAACATCTAGAATCACTTGGCAAATCAGAAACACATCACTTATCAGAATCCTTAAACATTTTTGATGGACGAGTGTATAACTAATCATCTCAGTTAAAACAGTTTATGAAATTTACTTTTATCTATTTGTATCAGATACTAAGCCACGATAAAATCATTGAATACATTAAACTGTTGAAACATTTTCAAAATACTTCAATTATTTGAGATTGTACGAGAACCAAACTCACTTACCATATTTTATATGAAATCAAATTTACTTTTAGTATCTTGTACGAAATCAATATCATATTAAGGCTTAGGCCACAATAGTATTAGATCAAATCACATTTCACTTTATATACATAAAAAATAATAGAATATTTATTTTTTGAGCACAAGATCAAAATATAGTAATCATGCAATTTCATATTTTAAAATACTAGTGGGAAATGCACTCACCTCTAAAGTGATTGGATTCTCCCAAATTCGATTTTCCTCGTCATCTTTTTATTTTTTATTTTGCTCTCTTTTCCTCCCTTCCCTCCTTGGGTTTCTCTTTAATCCAAACAGTTTTATTCCCAAGTCTCTTCTCAAGATACAAAAATCAAAACTTGTTCATCATTATTAACCAAACTCGAGATTCAATTAGTAAGAAAGCACTATTTAAAAAAGCCTCCGTCTAGTCCGCTTAGACGTACGCCTAGACCTAGGCCGTATCTTGACCACTTAGGTAGCGCCTAACATCTAGACGGTACTTAGACTGCCCACCTATAATTTGGGAGTGTTTAGGGGAGTATTGTCTGTTTACGTGGACTGCATCCTTTAGGCTTTGATCTTGAGTTTCTATGTTGCAGCCTCCACGTCTTCTAACCTCCTTCAAGCTCGTTTAACCTCAAAATATGAACACATTCACTACCTCCTTCGACCTTCAACAAAACTTTCATAACCACCACTTAAATGAAGAAAGAAATCTGCCTAGACACCAGTCCGACACTTAACCTTTCTATAACATTAATATTTACTATCAATTATTATAATTAAAAAAATAAAAATAAAATCTTCTAGGTTCTAGGTGACGGGGCCTAACACCTAGACCTCCTAGCGCTTTCTATAACCTTATTAATTATTATTTTGGCTATTTAGCATTTAAGTATGCATGGTTTATTGTGGACCTATGGTTGCTATCTATTTTTTATAAATTTATATGAATTTAATATATATTTTCATCAATTATTATAAAAAAAGCCAAACGCTTAGGCGTCGCCTAGGTATACGCTTAAGTGTCTAGGCGTTGGGCGCTAGCTCAAACATCTAGTCTGCTTAGCGCCTTCTGTAACATTGCAAGAAAGGAGAGAATTTATACGTTAGGGTTCGGATTTGTAATGTAATTAAGTTCTCTCCTCTTTCTCATTCCTTTTTCTTCACTTTAGGAGGTTATCAGATCAGAAATTTCTTTTTTTCTTTGATTTTCCCCTCATTTTGTTACATTCTCTCTCCTTGTATTCCTTTTGAGGCAGTGCCTCATTCCTCTCCAATAAAAGAGGGCTATCACAATGTTGAGGTCGCAGTGAGGGGCAAAGGGGTTGGAAAATTTGACAAAAAGCCCCATGAATATTGTGCTTTGCATAAAGATTCTTAAGATAGGATATTTAAATTATGTATAGGGGTACTACATTTTCCCCCCTAATAAAAAGTTTCATCCTCGAAACTTTAACATACCTTATGTTTTAAAGAGCTTTAGATGCTTCTTCAATACATTATCTTCTTCTTTCCAAGTGGCTTTCCTCTAAAAGTTTTCCTTCTATTCAATTTTCACATATTTGATAGGTTTGTATCTGGTCAATCCCCCCCCATTATGCTTTGATTCTCTTGAAAAATTAAATCATCGCCGTAAAGTTCACAACTTTCCTCCATCAAAAAGCTCTTAAGGCAATATTTTGTTTCACGAGCTTAGTAGCTATTGTCAAGGTTTTAAATATCGGTTATCGGGGATTTATCGGACAGTCAAAATCCTTATCGGATAGTGAAAATCGGGGATAAGTAGTATTTATCGGAGTTATATATCGTATGATGTGTATATATAATATAATACCCCAAATTGTAATCTAACCATACTCCCCTCTTTCATTCTCTTAACCTTCACTAAATAACTAGAGAAAATACCAACTGAATAGTGAATATTATTTGTTGCTATAACTTCAAAAGTTATGTTGAGGGCGTGGCGTCGATGGAGAGAGTCCAAGTTGAACTGTCGAAGTCACATTTAATGATGGCGTCGATGGAGAGAGCTTGGCATCGATGGAGAGCTCAACGTCGGTCAACATCGTCGAGTCAATCAGATTAGTTGGTGATGACGTTGATGGAGAGAGTACATCATCAGTCGAAGTCGTCATGTCGATGAAGTTAATGTTGATGAGAGAGCAGCGTCGAATGGTCGAAGTCGATAGCGTTGAGGTCAGCGGAGTTCGAAGAGGAGCGGAGGCGAGCGTCGAAGTCGGCGGAGGTGAACGTCAAGGTCGACGGAGTCCAAAGAGAAACATAGATCAGAGGATTAAGGCAGTGGGCACAGCCGCACAAATGAGGGGAGAGAGAACAAAGGATTAGGGCTACTTAATCGAGTTTAAGTTTTATTGTAAAGAACGGGTTGTGTCGGGTTTCAAGTACCCTCAAAAATTGCCAATTACCCATAGGTCCCACTCAACCGAATAGTGTGGCCCGATAAT